CCTTCGGCGCCCCCCGCCCGGTCCGGGCCGGCCGGGGGGGCAGGCGGGAGCGGCACCCGCCGCGGCAGCCTGGTGAGTGCCGGCACCGCGCCACCGGCCGGGATTGGGGAGGATGGGAAGGGGGTTTGTGCCCCTGGATGCTGGGGTGCAGGGTTGGCGGGGAGGCCGGGCACTCACTGCCTCTCCCCCCGCAGAGCACGGAGCCCATCTCCCCCGAGCTGTGCGGCGGCCGGGACCCGCTGGCCGACGGGGCGGACGGAGCAGCGGGGTCGAGCCAGGCCAGCCCTGAGCCGGGGGCACAGCTGCCCTGCCGGGAGCAGGGGGACAGCCACCATCACAGCTCCTCGTGCAGGTGAGAGCAAAGCGGGCGGTCGGCAGCGCCGTGGCCCATCCCCGCGGGAATGCTGGTGATCTCCCGACTAATTTTGTGCTTTATGGAAAGGGCGAATTTCCCGTCTGCACCAGCCTGGGAAGGAGCCTGGGGGCAGCCTGCCCTGGGGGTGTCTTGCTGGAGCTCCTCCGCTTCCAGCAGCTCCTCCGAGCTAACAGGGCCGTGCCAGGCACAGCTTTGCCCCCGGGCCAGTGGGAGCGGGATGGCACCGTCCTTCCCCATGCCCACTGGCCCCGCTGTCCCAGCCTGCAGGCCAGCGAGGCCCCGCTGGAGGCAGAGGCACCGCGGAGCGGCACCACAGCACTGGATGGGGCAGAGGGCACCGGCACCCGTCTCGACTTTAAGGTATCCGGCTTCTTCCTCTTTGGCTCCCCGCTGGGGCTGGTGCTCGCGCTGCGCAAGACCGTCATGCCCGCTCTGGATGGTGAGGACCCCTGCCAGCCATGGTGCCAGCCCCCGACCCTCCCTGTGGGGCTCGAGCCCTCGTCCCCAAGTCGTGCTCCCCCTGCCCCCCGCAAGCCCCCCGGGACCTCCCCAAAGAGCCCTGCTTGGGTTGGAGCCCCTTGCACGCCCAGCCCCGGCTGCGTGGGTGTCGGTGTTGGTGCCCCAGCATCCCCTTCCCCGCTCTCTCTGCCAGCCCCAGCCTGTCCCCCAGCTGTCACCGGTGTCCAGGGTTTGCCTCCCCAGCCTTTCCTCTCGCTGGGTCCTGCTTTCTTCCCCCTGGGCGTTGAGCTCCCGGCTGCACTGCCCTGTGCCCGCCAGCCCTCGTGCCCTGTCCCCGTCCCCACCGGGCTCCTTACTGGGCAGCCCCGATCCCCCCTCTCTGCCTCAGTGGCCCAGCTGCGTCCCGCCTGCGAGCAGATCTACAACCTCTTCCACGCTGCCGACCCCTGCGCCTCTCGCCTGGAGCCCCTCCTGGCCAAGGCCTTCCACGCCGTCCCGCCGCTCAGCGTGCCCCGCTACCAGAAGTACCCCCTGGGTGACGGCACCTCCTCCCTGCTGGGTGAGCAGCCCCCGCGCCGGGCTGGTCCCGGGCACCTCGGGGCACGTTATGGGCTCCGGCATCGCGCTGGGGTACCCGCAGCACCCACAGCGCTGCAGGAGCCCAGCTGGGGTGGGGGGAGAGTGATGTGCAAGCCCTGCCCACCCCTTTGGGGCTCTGCTGGAGGGGGGTCCCAGGGTGGTTGGTGTCCCCAAGGGGCTCTGGGTGTCCTTACTTGTCTCCCTCCACAGCGGAGGCCCTGCAGATGCACTCTGCCCTGTTCCTGCCCGAGGTGGACGTGGCTGCCCCCCCTACCCCCACCGGCAGCTTCGGAGGTTTCTGGAGGGGCAGCGAGCAGGGAGACCCCCCCACTCCCGCCAGCACCAGCGAAGTCGTCAAGAGTAAGTGCCATCCCTGCCCATCCCATCCCATCCCATCCCATCCCATGCTGGCACCGCGGGATGCACGGCGGGGACAGATTCATTCCAGCTCTCCCCCCAGTCCTGGAGCGCTGGTGGGGCCCGAAGCGCATCGACTACTCGCTGTACTGCCCCGACGCCCTGACCGCCTTCCCCACCATCACCCTGCCCCACCTCTTCCACGCCAGCTACTGGGAGTCCTCCGACGTGGTGGCCTTCATCCTGCGCCAGGTATGGCGGGCACGGTGGGGCAGGCACCGCGGCTCTCTGGGGCCAGCGGAGGCTGAGCCGGGGCCATGCTGCTCGGCAGGTGATGGAGAAGGAGGGGCCGCAGCCGGCGGAGAGCGAGGAGAGCTCTATCTACAGCCCTGCGATCCCCCGGGAGAAGTGGCAGCGCAAGCGCACCCAAGTGAAGATCCGGGTAGGTGCTGTGTGGCCAGCGGGAGCCCAGCCCTTTGCGAGGGCAGCGCCGGGCTCCGGCCGTCCCTGGGTGCCCGGACAGACTCCCAGCCACGGGGCGATGCAGCTGGGGGGGTTTGCTCCTGTCTGCCGGGAGGATGCCGGGATGGTCCTGCAGCCCGGCGGGGCCTGTGTGTCCCCTCGGGGGCTCCCTTGGGTGTCACCCGCAGCCCCGGTGCGAGCTGCTGAGCCCCCCGTGTCCCTGCAGAACGTGACGGCCAACCACCGGGCCAGCGACGTGATCGTGTGCGAGGGCAAAGCGCAGGTCCTCAGCGGGCGCTTCATGTACGGACCCCTGGACGTGGTGACGCTGACCGGGGAGAAGGTACCGCGGGGCTCATGGGTGCCACCAGGACCCCATCAAACAGGGTGGGGATGTCCGGGAGGGGACACGGGGCTGGTGTCACCCGCGGCAGGGGAAGGGATGTGGTGAACAGGACCCTGTAGTACCTTGTGGGATGGGGGGAGAGAGTCATAAGGACTTGGGAGGTTGGGGATTCGGCAGGATCTGGAGGTTCAGTCCATGCTCAGCCCTTCTCCCTCCTCCAGGTGGACATCTACATCATGACGCAGCCACTGTCAGGGAAGTGGCTGTACTATGGCACCGAGGTGACGAGCGGCAGCGGGCGCCTGACCTTCACCATCCCTCCGGACAAGGCTCTGGCCATCGGCATCTACCCCGTGCGCATGGTGGTCAGGTGAGACGCGGGTGTGCGGTGCCATCTTGGTTCCTCCTCCAGCCCTTTTGGCAGAGCCTCCCCTGAGCCCCCTCTCTCCCCCGTCCCAGGGGGGACCACAGCTACGCCGAGGCGTACCTGACGGTGGTGGCCCGGGGCACCGAGTCGGTCGTGTTCAGCATCGATGGCTCCTTCACCGCCAGCGTCTCCATCATGGGCAGCGATCCCAAAGTGCGGGCAGGGGCTGTCGATGTCGTACGGTAGGTGCCCTCCTCACGGGAGGAGACAATCTCCCTCTCTCATGGTGCGGTGACAACCCGGTTGTGGGGTAGTTGGGGCATCTGAGCCGGCTGATTTCCCAGGGCTGAACTGGGGGAATCTCCTTGCGCTCCCTCGCCCACAGTTTTTACAGCATCTCTGCGCTGGTGCCTTCTTGTCGGCTGCCCAGGGCAGTGGCTGAGTCCCCGTCCCTGGAGGTATTTAAAAGCCAGATAGACGTGGTGCTTAGGGACATGGTTTAGTGGTGGCCTTGGCAGTGCTGGGTTAACAGTTGGACTTGATGATCTTAAAGGTCTTTTTCAACCTAAATGGTTCTATGATTTTATGAAAGCAGTCCGCTCCTCGTTTTGGTCCCGAAGCCTGCTGTGATACCCCGCAGCTCCGCTGTGCATTCAGCCTTGCTAAAATCCCTGTGGGGAGGAAGGTTTTGGAGACAGCACCCATGTGCGATGTGTTGGGAGATGCTCGGTGGCTTCCCGCCAGCAGGACTGTCCTCGCACAGGCTCCTGGCACCAACATGTGTCCCCTCCTAGGCACTGGCAGGACTCGGGCTACATGATCATCTACGTGACGGGGCGCCCCGACATGCAGAAGCACCGCGTGGTGGCCTGGCTCTCCCAGCACAACTTCCCCCACGGCGCCGTCTCCTTCTGCGACGGGCTCACCCACGACCCGCTGCGCCAGAAAGCCGCCTTCCTCCAGAGCCTGCGCACCGAGGTGCGGATGGGGACGCCGGCGGGGTGGGGACGTGGGGCCGGTGGTGGTGGAGGGGGCCCGGGGGTCAGTGGAGCCGTGGGCGGAGATGCTCGGAGCTAGACCGCGCTGCCATGGCAGAGCTGGCACCAACCCCCTGCTCAGGGTACAGAGGGGCAGCTCCCAGCCCGCGGGCGTTGCAGCCATCCCTTGTAAAATGAGGGTGTCCTGGTCCCCCGGGGGTGGCTGTCCCTGCGGGAAGGGTCACTCCCTGCCCTAACGCTCCTGTCCGTGGGCAGGCAGAGATCACCATCGTCGCCGGCTACGGCTCCACCAAGGACGTCTCCGTCTACAGCTCGCTGGGGCTGGCGCCAGCGCACATCTACATCGTGGGCCGGGCCGTCAAGAAGTTCCACAACCAGTGCCAGGTACGGTGGCGGGGCTAGGGACGGGCTGGGGCTGCAGGGGACAATTGCTGACCCCACCAGGGTGGCAGGAGCTTGCGATGGCCAGGGCCGCCGGCTCAGGCTGTCCGTGTGTCCCGCAGTTCCTGTCAGAGGGCTACGTAGCCCACCTGGCCCAGCTGGAAGCAGTGGCCCTGGCCCACTCCCCCAAGGGACCCCCGCGTCCCGTGCTGGGCAAAGGCACCTACGGCTGCCCGGCGCCCGTCGACTTCCTACGCAAGCAGAGCCAGCTCCTGCGGTCGCGGGGCTCCAGCCAGGCAGAGCGGGACGGGGGGCCCCCGCCGGCACCCCCTGGGCTGCCCCGGGCCAAGCCCCGCAGCGTCAGCCTCAAGCTGGAGGGTGAGGAGTGAGGGTGGTGCGGCCACCGTCCCCCCCCTCCGCCGCAGCCTTCATTTCCCAGCCAGGAGCACCTGGGACCGGAGCCCGCCATGGGCCCCGAGCCGATAGGAAGGAGATGGGGGCGCTGGGTCCCCCCGAGACCAAGGGGCCCTGGGAGATGGCACTCTGAGCCCCCCTGAGGGCTAGAGCCACCCCCTCGGGGCTGAGCCACCCCGGGTCCCCCCCGCTGCCCCCCAGCTCTGCCTCCACCCGTCCCCCCGCTCCTTTGGGGCTGCAGAGCTGCTGCTGGGCCGTGCCCGGGGGGTTCGCCCCTCCGGGGAGCTGGTGCGCTGCTCCCTGGGGTCATCCATCCCCGGGCAGCGTTGGGGGGGGCCATGGCTATGCCCCAGGGTAAGCGGCACCTCCCTGCTCCCCGCCTATTTATTTCCGTTCGGTGTCGCCGGCCGTGGGGCAGGGGAAGCGCCGGGATTCAAAAGCGGTTCCTCCGTTCTCTTCGTTTCGTTGCGGTGTGAAATAAAGCGATGTAAAGACGAGGCGCCGGGGCCCCACGTGTCTGCTCTGTACCCGCCGGCTGCGGCAAACGGCACCGGGGCTTCCCCCGCCGGTGAAGCCTCGGACCCAGGGACACGGTGTCACGCTGGGAGGTGGGCTTGGGGCTCAGCGGTTGGGTCTTGAGCAATTTAGGACACGTCAGGGCGGGGAAAAGACAGCCCGGGGTGTCTCTGGGCTGCACCGCTGTTCTCGGGTTGGCGTTGATGCTGTCCATTGCATGAGCTTTTTGCACAAGAGGACGGCCGCGGGGTTCGGGCAGGGATGGAGGGACCGTGGGGACAGGAGGAGGAAAGCTGGTGGCCAGAGCATGGCCGGGGTGGCTCGGCCACCCTGCTGTCACCTCCGGGCTGGGCCGGGGTGAGGGCCGCGGGGTTTGGGGTGCTGTGGTGGCGCGGGCTCAGCTTTGCCCTCCTGCGGCGCGGGGCCACGGGGGCGCACGCTGACACGGCGTCGGTGTGCGTTAGTGCTGCTTTTACACCGTGAGCCCAGGCTGGAGCCGGCTGTGAGTATTTTTGGCTCTACACCTTACAACACTCGTTTAGCAGCTATAACGCATCCACGACAGCAAGTAAGGGCTCCGTTTTGCAGCGAGTTTGCAAGGCCTCACGGCCAGGGCTTGCCAGGCTCCCTCCCCCTGGCCTGTTCCTGGCCTGCCTGCAACCCTCTTTTACCTCATTTACCTCTAACAGCAATTTTTCTAAGCGACCAGGTGCCTGTGACTGGTTTTACTTTTGTTTATCTTGGCATAGCACAACCAGAGTTTCATAGAGATAGCGGTAACAAGCAGTTATTCTATATAAAATATTTACGACGCTGGTATGATGATGTAGTGGAGAGGAAATATGGTCTCGGGATGATAGCAGCAGCCTTGAGAAGTGACGATGCAGGACGTGGCGCGGAGTACAGGCACGAAGGGGTAGGAGCCGGGGCTGAGGCTTGGCACCGGAGCCCCCGCGGCCGTGAACGGCTCAGCCAGCCCCAGGCGCGGTGGCTCAGCCCAACATAAAGTATAAAACCATCAAACAATGAATAAAAGAAGGTGGCAGAGAGCAGCAGGCTTGAGCTCATGTCACCCCATGTGTCCCTTCCCGGCGTGACGATGAGCACAGTCTAGAGCCCGGCAAGGAGCTTCACCTTTACGTTGCGCTTCAACCGTGCGCTGCCATTGCTATACGCTGCTTAATACTGCGACTTAAGCGCGCTGCCGTGTCACCGGGCTGTGGCGAGCTCCCGGGCCACTTCAAATAAGTAAAACTTGTATTAAACATTAATAAACATCAATGAACATTCCACATGTGGAATATCTAAAAGAACCTGTTCGGAGAGCATTGGGCTCTCTACTGCGGCCGTGGGCTCTACTGCGAGAAGATGCCCTTGAAGCGGATCTTGTCCTCGGCGTCCTTCTCGCGCAGGCGGGCTTCCAGGCTCCGCAGCTCCTTGGAGACGACGGGGCGCAGCGAGGGGTCGAGGGCTAGCACTTTGGCAAAGTCAGCCTGCGCCTCCGCCACGTTCCACACCGCCGCGTGGGCCTTCCCTCGCTTGAAGTAGGCCTTGACGTTGTCTGCGGGGAGAGAGCTGCTGGGCCGGTGGAGCACCGGGGGGGTCTCCCCGGTACCCCCTCGCCCTGTCGGCACCTACCGCAGCCGGCCGGGCCGGCCCGCGGCTCCTTACCCTCGTACTTGTTGAGAATGGAGGAGCAGTGATCCAGCACCTCGTAGTACTCCTCGCACTGCAGCTTGCATTGGCAGTAATTTAACAGCAGGGGTGTGATCTTCTGGTCCAGCTCAATCCAGTCCGGAGAGCCGGGCTGCTCCTGCAGGATGAGACAGAGCCGGGAGAGTGAGGGGCAGCCCCCACGCCCTGCGCTCCAGGAGGGATGCGAGGAGACCTGTGCGCACCCCGGAGAGGGGCCAGGGAGCCCCACCTTCATCTGCAGGTTCTTGAGACAGGCGATGGCATCGTAATATTTGGCAGCTGCCTCCTGCACCTTGCCCTGCCGGTAGAGCTCGTTGCCCTCCTTGTGGATCAGGGGTACGGCCTGCAGCTTCTCCTCATCCGTCATGGCCCACGGGTCCTGCTGGTAGGAGCCGGGTGCCTCCACCTGCCGGTGCCCCGTTGTGAGGGCAGAGCCTGCTGTGGGGCAGGGGCAGAGCCCCAGCGCCCGCCTGCCCTGCCCGCGGCCTCCGCCCAGGGCCAGGATGCTGGCGGCCATCCCTGAGCTCCCCCTGGCCACGCCGGTGCCAGCGGGTGCCTCACCTTGAGCACTTCGATGTCGAAGATGAGGGGCTGGGGGTTCTTCTGCAGCTCGTCGAGGTCGGGGTAGCCCAGGGAGTAGTGGTCGTGCAGCTGGGCGATGCTGCAGCAGTGCCGCTGCCCCTCCAGCGGGTCCTTCCCCGCCGCGATGTTGCGCAGGCTCTTGGACACCAGTGGGTAGAGCACCACGTGCTGTGGGACGGTGGGAAGCGGCGCTGGGCCGGGGCTGCACCGGCATGGCGGCGGGGAGCGAACCGGGATGCTCGGGGTCTCGAACCCGCGGACTCGGGGTACAACGAGGTGGTTGCGGCCCCCGAACGCCACGCCCCCCGAGTAGAAAACCCCGCCCCCAACCCAACAAACCACGCCCCCCGCCCCACCTTGGCGTCGCAGCGGAATCGGGCGGGCTCCCCCGGCCCCCTGGTGCCCC